TCCATGGGTGTTGGATCCCCTGGAACTTGAGTTACAGACAGTTGTGAACTGCCATGTTGGTGTTGGGAATCGAACCCAGGTCCTCTGGAAGAGCAGCCAGTGCACTTAACCACTAAGTCATCTCTCCAGCCCCAAGCGGTGTACACTCTTTCCTCCACCCCCTGAGTGCTGGGACTACAGGCCTGTTTCTGTACTGGAGATGGAACTTGGGGTATGTCAGAGAAGCACTGTACCAACTGAGCCCAAATGTTTGATTATTTAAAAAGTTCCATATTTAACACTTCTATGAGTTAGTTTCCTAGCTCCTTCTGAAGGGAGTCTATAATTTTTTTTTTCCCCTAACAGATCCAGTAAATAAGATCCCCCAACCCCTCCCTTTTCTCCTTGGCTAAAAGTCTGTGCGCCTGTAAGCCTGGAATTGTCATTATCAGTCACAGACTCATGGGAACAGCTGGTCTGAATAATAATAACACAGAAATAGAAATGGATATTAGAAGCAAAGGAAGGAAAGCTGAAGTGGCTCTCATTATGTGGATGCAGGCATCTGAGGATGTCTCCACAGCTCCGCGCTTTCTTCAGTTTGCTTACATAACCAGCCTTCCTTCCTTCCTTCCTTCCTTCCTTCCTTCCTTCCTTCCCTCCTTCCTTCCTTCCCTCCTTCCTTCCTTCCTTCCTTCCTTTCCTCTCTAAGGTTGTCTTGGATTTTTCCGTTTGTCACTTCCATCCAAGCTAATTGTCAAAGAGGGTATATATATGTAAAGACTCAGGCACTATGCTGGCCCGCCCCTGTCACCTGACAGAATGCACTCAGGCAGTACCCTGGTCAGCCCAGGGTTCCATGTTTGCATAGTCTGTACGCAGGCACAAAGGACCCCTTTAAAAGACAGACCCCCCCCCAACACTTACACTTGCTTTCTGGCTCCTCTCCTTCCCGCTGTTCCCCTGGGGCAGACAGGACTTTTCCTGTCTCCCTCATCTCTTCTGTCCTCTCTCTGTCTCTCTGTGTCTCTTTACCTCTGTTCTCTTTCCTTCCCTCTCCCTCCCCTTTCTAATAAAACCCCTCACTTAAGCTCTGTCTGCCTGGCATGTTTGAGCCTCCGCCTGGGTAACCCTCGCCTGCTATGGAATCCGCCAAGGTTCCCCTCTCGAAATGTTCAAAACAGTATATTTTATACATAAAATATAAATTTGCATACAGAAACATGATGTCCCCTACTCAGACCCAAATTGGAATCTACAGCTTAGATTAAAGCAATTTCAAGGCAGACGTGGTGGCAGACAGCTTTAATCCCAGCACTCGGGAGGTGGGGCAGGGGGATCTCTGAGTTTGAGGCCAGCCTGGTCTCCAGAGAGAGTTCTGGAATTGTCAGAGTAGCCCTTTGTCTCGAAAACAACAACCAATGCCAATTTCAAATGGGCCCAAGAGATGGCTCAGCGGGTGGGTAAAGGTGCTTGCTGACAAGCAAGCCAGACTATGAAGTTTGGTCCCTGGGATCCATGAGGTGGAAGAAGATGACCAAGGCCAACAAATTATCCTTTGATCCCCACAGGTGTGTATGCCCTCACACACAATAAGTAAGTGTAATAATAACAAATCAAAATTTTAAAAGCCCCTCAAAAAGTTTCAAATGTACCCAACATTGCAAAGGTAAAATAAGCCCCATGATTTTGTATGTATTCATACGTGTATTTAACAGCATGAATATCACCGTATACTGACTATCAATAGACACCTATTTAATAAAAATATAAAAAAAACACACACAGGAATGAAGCCAGACATGATGGTACGGCCTCTAATAATAGCACTTGGGAGATGGAGGTAGGAAGATAAGGAGTTCAAGTTCATTCTCTGGTTAGTTTGAGGCTGGCCTGGGCTATCTGAGGCCCTGCTGCAAACAAACAAACAAAAGACTTGGGAGAGATATAGATTACCTTACATAGTGTTTGCCTCTGGGTGACTGGGAGAGAAGGGGAAATGAACTAAGTGTAGTTCTGAATGGAGGATGTATCTCTGTGGGAGAGTGCTTGCCTAATGTGTGTGAAGCCCCCGGTTTTGTCTTAATATTTAATTTTGCTTTTTTTGTTTGTTTGTTTTTTTTCGAGACAGGGTTTCTCTGTGTAGCTTTGGAGCCTATCCCTGCACTCGCTCTGAAGACCAGGCTGGCCTCGAACTCACAGAGATCCACCTGCCTCTGCCTCCCGAGTGCTGGGATTAAAGGCGTGCGCCACCAACGCCCGGCTTGTCTTAATATTTTAAAAAGGAAATTTTAAACTAAAAAGAATGATAGAAGAAGAAAAGCAAAATGTCGCTGTCTAGAAAATGTCAGGCTATGCGTTTCCATTTGTATTTTTATTTTTCATTATGACTGAATTACCTTTAAATTAAAATCTTTAAAAGAGGGCCAAGCCTGATGGCCTTTTGATCACAGTATTCGGCAGGTAGAAGCGAGTGGATCTCTGTGAGTTCAAGGCCAGCCTGGTTCACATAGCAAATCCCAGGCCAGTCAGGGATACATAGTGAGAGCCTGCTTGAACGAACAAACAATAGCAAAGATAAAAACGAACCCAAACACCAAAAATCACAAAAGAAGAGAAAATTATCCAAAAGCTGCTCATGAGCTAAGGTTCTTTATATAGACGATCCAAATGTTCACACTTTCATTCCTTCCTATATTAAAACAATGCCTTGCAAACCCGAGTCATGGAACTTTGGAAGCAAAACATATGTGTGTATGTGTCTCTATGTGTGTCTGCATGTGTCTGTGTGTGTGTATGTGTCTCTCTGTGTGTCTGTGTGTGTGTGTGTGTCTGCATGTGTCTGTGTCTCTGTATGTCTGTCTGCATGTGTCTGTTTGTATATTTGTGTGTCTGTATACATGTGTGTCTGTGCATGCATCTGTGTGTGAGTCTGTCTGTGTGCATCTCTGTGCATGGGCATTGACATATGCTCTCCGTATGCAGCTCAGGGGTGACTTCAAAGTCACAGTCTTCTGCTTCAGTCTCCGGAGTGTTGGATTCCAGGTGTCTGTCACTCACCACAGCTGGCTCCGGGATCTACATTTACACACGTGATCATTCAGTGTCACTGTAACAAGAGAAGTCCATGCTAGAGAACCCTTACAACGATGCATTTAAATAACCCGAGTGTGGTCTCTACCTGACAGCATACACATAATAAACTCGGGAGTAGCTTACCCGTCTAATGCCACACCCCTCCCTTTTCCCGTGGGGCTGGAAAGGCTCCAAATGTTCTGGTTTCAGCTGAAATCAGGGTACATTTTGTTTGTTTGTTTGTTTGTTTTTGGAGACAGGGTTTCTTTGTATAGTTTTGGCTGTCCTCAAACTCACAGAGATCCACCTGCCTCTGCCTCTCAATTAAATGCTTTCGCCACCACTGCCTGGCTCCAGGGTACACTGAGTGTGTGTGTGTGTGTGTGTGTGTGTGTGTGTGTGTGTGT